AGATCTTTATAATTATATATCAAGTATAATATTAGGTGGAACCAATCATAATTGTATATATAAATTTTGTGTATTAAAATATTTTTTAATTTTGTGATCTTAAATATGCAATATAAAAAAATTAAAACGGAAAAGGGCCTAAAATACCATTAAAGTATTGGAAATGGTACGAAATTACCCTCCATCTACTATCGGCTCCAAAATACCCTTCCCACCCACCTATTGGTTTAAAATTGACCACTTATTTAACGGTTTTATATTTAAACTATTTAAATATTTTTTTAAATATGTGGCGCTCAACTATTTGTTATGATTTAACTTATTAATACAATTTATAAATCAATCCACTACCCACCCATTACTAATTAAACCCCTCTAAATTAATGAATCCGTCACATTATTAATGTAACAACAGATTAACAACTACCAATTGAGTGTTTTTAAAAATTTGAGGTGAAAATGTCTATAGAAGTAAATTATCATACATTCAAGTGTCCAAATAAAATTAACGATAAACTTAAAAGCCTGACTATGTTTATCTTAATTATTCTTACATCTCAATTATGTGATGTTACTTCATAGGTAACTTTTTTTTAAAATAATATATTAAAGGTTTTAAAACAAATAATAAATATTTATAAAATTATATTTTTAAAAAATGCATGAATTAATTTGGGATGCATTACTTCTTTATCTTTAATCATAAATTTCTTATTAAATCTTCCAAGAAAGTGCCCTCCCAAATAAGCGGCTCAACCTGAATTTAATTGGGGCTTCGATTCGGACTCAAATAATTTTGAATGTTATTTTTAGGAATCTATAATTTTATCGTGCTTTAGTAGTGTTTATGATGATTTTTGATATTATAATTGGATTATTAATTGGGTGCGGTTTAGTTAGTAATTAGTGGGTAGTGGGTTGGTTTATAAATTATATTAATAAATTTAATTATAACCAATAGTAAAATGTCAAGTAATTTAAAAAATATTTAAAGTGTTTAATTTTAAAACAATTAAAAAATTGGTCAATTTTGAATCCAAAGGTGGATTACAAGGTTATTTTGGAGCCAATAGGTGGATGAAAAGGGCATTTTGGAGCCAATAGGTGGATGAAGGGCAATTTTATACCATTTTCAATACTTTAAGAGTATTTTAGGCCCTTTTCCGAAATTAAAATTTAAAAGTGATTTTCTTTTTGAAATAAAATAAAAAATAAGTTTATATATTAAAAATGAAATGTGTGCGTGCGTGCGTGCGTGTTATTATTGAAATGAGCTTTCATATATTATTATTTTTTTTAAAATCGTTTGGCTTCCTTCTATTAATTTGTGCATATATGTAGAGTTTTAAAGATTTGAACATTTTAATATAAAAATATAATGATTTGAAAAATTTAATTCTTCGTTTTAATTTCTAATTTGTTACATATCTAAAAATTACATAAAAAAGAAGCTTAAAAACGCAATGTAACAATTTAAGATATTTTTAGAAAAACATAGTTAAAAACATAATGAAATTTGGTTGACTCCCTTATTTTTATCGAAACAAAAAAGAGTTGCATATATTGTTTGAAAATAATGTAATAATTAAAAAGTACTATTAATCATAGTAAAATGAGAACTAAAAATACGTGAGAATCATATAAGTAATTCTGTTTACTTTCTTAAATCACGTGTATCACATAAAATAAAAAAAATGGACTAACAAATATTATTCAAAAATAATATAAAAGGTACATAAATTAAGAATTTAAAATATTTTTTTAGTAAACACATATAAATTTTGTTTACTTTTTCAAATTTCATTTATGTCACATAAATTGAAAGAAAAAAAACTAACGTACGTTGGGCCTACGCTGGCGCAGACACATGATATCTAGTATATATTACTATTAGATACAAGAGTGGCAAGGGTATAATGGTCATTTTACATTAATAACAAATGGACAAATTTCATTTCCAAAAGCAAGAAGGGCAAATATGTAATTACACATTAAAAAAGGACAAATTTCAATTTCAATAGCAACATTTTGTAGATCCATTTATCTTCCATATTTGTAGAACCATCAGTCTTTATTCAAACAAAAAATTTCAATTCATCTTTAGCACAAAGACTTACTCAAACATGATTCTAAAGCATAATTTCTTCCAGCTCTCTTCTTTCAACAACCATTAATCAATTTGCAATTTAAAACTTCAAGTATATTTCTTTCTTTGATAAATGATCAGAGAAAGGATTAGACGAAATAATAAGTAACAATGTATATAATTTAGAAATTTCATATCATAAACTTTGAAAGCAAGTAGAGAATTGACAGAAAATTGAGATAAAAACATGCATGAGTTGGATCACCAAATTAAGAAGATGAACGAAAGGAAACCAAGTCTTCAAAAGTTTGAAAAAAAAACAAAGATCATGGCAACGAAAGGATTATATATGAAAAAGCACAAATGATTTCAACTTCATCTTCTCGAACTAGATTTTAATTTCTGACATGTTCATTCATTTTGTCTGAATCTCAAAATCTCTAACCAAAAAAATATGAATAATAATTTATAATTATAATTATTATAATAAATAAAAAAATTATGAAACATAGAGATGTATATATAAGAAGTGTTTATAATTTTTTTTCTTTCTAGATTAATATTTAAATTTAAAATAAAAAAAGGAAAGATAGGGGAAGTGGTTATAATAATTATATGAGATGTGCTACAACAGTAAAAGGGATACGTGTCTTAAACAAAATAATCATTGCTTTACAAAATAACAAATGGAGTGGTGCAGACTCATGTTTTTTAGGCTTTTAGCAGTGGTGTAGGCTACTGTTGTAGGCTCCTATCTGCTTTTATTTTATGCTTTTACCAATGGTGTAGGTTACTGTTTTCATTTTTATGCTTTTAGCAAGACTGTTCCGTCTTCTTCTTTTTTTATATATAACTTTATTATTATTATTTTAATTATAAGGGGATGCAATATTTACCTACCCATTATGCTTTTACCACGTGACTGAATATTTATCACACATTATGAAATATTTTCTATGTAGAAATTTCCATTTAACCTTTAAATAACTCTTCGCTTTTCTTTTCTCCTCTCAGCAGATAGTTCAATTTCAAATTTGTGTGATCTCATCTTGTTTCAAATCCAGGTAATTTGTTCCTAATCTTTTATATATATATATATATATATATATATATATATATATATATATATATATAAAATATAATAGTAATTTCAAGAAAGCTGGCATGTTAATGTTTTGTATTTACATCAATTTAGTTTGGGTTTTTTGCCTATATAAATCTTCTGTACACATTCACTATTATTAATATAATATCAAGATGATTCATTGAAAGTAAACTATTTTAGTGAATATATATAAAAATAGGTGACCTATTTTATGTTGCAGCCTTAACTGAGATAGATACTTCTTTTTAAGTGGTAACAAATATTATGAAATATAATAGAGCTATATGTTGTCCCCAATCTGAAAGAACTTTTGCTGTTTGTTTTCTTCATGACTATATTAAAAATAGTAACATTCTTTTGCTTAGTGTTGGCAAAAGCTAACCACATAACTGGAGGAGAACATGGGGACATGAAAAAATGAATAGTTGTGAGTGTCTTATTCTTGCTAGTCACATAAAAGTCCATCACTTTCAGTTATTCATTCAATCTATAGAAATTATATCCTTGACAATATTAATCAAGACATTCTCAAAGTAGAATTTTGCAGTTATCTAATAGCCAATAATAACAATCTTGAGATACATAAATAACAATTACAACATTTATGCCCAAATCTCAAACATGTAGGGTCCACTATATGAGTCATATTTGAGAACACTAAATTATAATATTATAATTTGTTGTTCAAAATCAGCCTTTGCATTTATATCAAATTTAATTAATGGTTTCTGCCATTAACTTTACAGAATTTCGACTTCGTTGGGGTAGTTGTTCGCTCTTGTGTTTCAATTTTCTCTCGTTGTGCGGTAAGTATTACTCAACTAATCTCTTATTTAACACACCTTTATTTACAGAGTGCTTTGTGAAGTTTATATAGGCAATAATTTTTGGGGGTGATCCATGATGACTCGTGAAATATTCTGAGATTTTTTCATTGCTCTATGTTATCTCCATTTTGTTTCTATCTAAGAGAATATACTCAAGATATTGTCGATGTATTTTATTTGTTGTTTAAAAATTATCATGGGAGTATGTTCTTTTTTTAATTCTTTAATATTTGCTAAAATAGAGCACTCTTGATCTCTTCAACAAAATCATTAAAAATAAGAGATATTATAATTTATTTCTTATATATACATACATATATATCTTTTAGGAATTATGATTTCAAGAAAATTAGATTAGCATGTTATTTTTTTAAATTTTATTTACTTCAGTTTAGTTTAGTTTGCCTATATAAATCTAGTGTCCATATTCACATTACTAAGATGGTGTCGAGATGATTTATTGAAAGTAGACTACTTTAGTGAATCTATCTCAATCGGTGTCCATTATTGTCTTGGGAATTTATATAGGCAGTAACTGATCACTCCAGCTTAATTTGTTTTTGTCTGTGTGTAGCACATTTTTTTCTTCTGAATTTTATATTGTAGCCTTAATTTATATGGATGCTTCTTTTTAATTGGTAACAAATATGAAAATATAATAGAGCTATATGTTTGTCCCCAATCTTTAAGAACTATTCGTTTTTTGTTTTCTTCTATGGCTGTTGACTTTAAATAATGTATTAGTAATGATAACTTTTTTTTCCTTAGTGTTAACAAAAGTTAACCTCATCAATTTCAGTTATTCATTCAATCTATATAAATTATAATCTTGGCAAAATTAAGCAAGACATTCTGAAATTACAATTTTGTAGAGACCTAATAGTCAACAATCAACGATCTTGAAATACAGTAATAACAATAATAACAATTATGCCAAACTCTCAAGCATATAGGGTAATCTATATGAATCCCAACCACATTAATAAATAACAATATTATGATTTGTTGTTTAAATCAGCCTTTGCATTTGCATCACATTTAATTAATGATTTGTGCTATTAACTTTACAGAATTTCCACTTTGTTGCGGCAGTTGTTTGCTTGCTCCTGTGTTTCACTTTACTCTCAGTGTGTGGTAAGTATTACTCAACTAATACCTTATTTAACAGACCTTATTGACTTGAGACACCAGAACACTTTGTGAAGTTTATATAGGCAATGATTTTTTGGGGTGATGCATCATGACTCGTGATTCATTGCTCTATGTTATTTACAAGTTTTTTTATATCTTAGAGAATGTATTCAATATATTGCCTATTTTATTTGTTGTTTGTTTTCTTCTTTAGTTGTTGACTTAAAAATATATTATAAATGATGATATCATTCTTTTGGTTGGTGTTGACAAAAGCTAACCTCATGGTTGGAGGAGAACATGAGAACATGGAAAAGAGAATATTTGTCACTGTCTTTTCCATGCTATTAACAAAAAAAGAACATCGCTTCCGTTATCCATTCAGTCTATAGAAATTACACTCTACACAAAATTAATCAAGATAGTTGCAATGCAACAGGCTGAAAGTACAAGAATTCTCTAAAGCTCATAGTTTTATCAAAATGTCAAATAGACATTCACCTAAAAGACAAAAATCAACATTATTGAAATACAATTATAATGATAAAAATAATTATGCTCAAGTCTCAAACATTTAGGGTCGACTATATGAATCCTCATTGACCACAATAAAATATAATAATACTACTATAGTTTGTTGTTTAAATCAGCCTTACATTTTCGGATTTATTAATTTATTTTTCCTCTTAGACATATATATTATGTTAGAATTGATATATGATTCGAACTATTAAATTTATAGAATTTTGACTTCGTTGCGGTGGTTATTTGCTCCCGTGTTTCACTTGTCTCTCGGCGAGTGGTAAGTATTACTCAACTAATTTCTTATTTAAAATTATTACTATTATTTACCAGATGATTATTTTGCATAATTATTTTAATCCCAAAGATGTCAACTCGTACAAATCATAAAAATGTGCTTTCTTTTCAAAAGTTAAATGCGGATAAAAATGCTAGGAGACGTGAACTATACAGATTGATGTCATCTGATAAAAAAGAAATTCTTCTGGCACTCCGTCGAGCAAAGAGAGCTCAAATGAGAAAATATAACATATCTGAAATTTCAATGAATAATGATTTGGCTACTGCGTAGTCCTCTAATTCCACCATTGCTTCAGTTGCAGAAAGTTCTGATTTTATGAGAAAACCCATTTTGCTCCTATCAGAAATAGTAGTACTATGTTATCAGAAATTAACTATAAGAAATTAAAAGAGGTATCAAATTGTCAATAGTGTAAAGCCATAAAATTTGAATATAAACCACATGCGTTTTGTTGTAGCAATGGTTCTGTTCGATTAACTTCACATGAAATTCCAATAGAATTAACGAACCTTTATCTGGAAAATATCAAGCTGTCAAAACATTTTAGAACTTACATTAGAACGTACAATAATATATTTGCTTTCACATCTCTTGGAGTAACTTATGACAAAGAAATAGCAAAAAAAATAATGGTCTTTATACTTTTCAAGGTGAAGGTCAGATGTATTATTTCATCAACGACTTGATTCCCATTGAATAAAAAGGAAAAAAATCTCCAATTATATTTCTTTGATAGTGAAAATGGATTAAGAAATCGAATGGCATGTTCAAATAAATTAAATGAATTTGTTGTGAGAACTCTGATGGAAATATTAAAAATTAATCCATACACTATGTTTTTAAAATCTTTAGTAGATGTTCCACAACTATCTGACTTTTATATTTCACTTAAATGTGATTCTGGCTTAGATCAACGTATATATAACTCACCAATAGTAGCGGGAGTTGCAGGAATATGGTAGAACAAGATATTACTAATTATATTCTTAAACAACATATTCGAATCTATACAAAAAGTGATAAAAGTAAATTGGTTCATTATTATTACGGTTGTTATGATCCACTGCAATATCCATTGCTATTTCCATTTGGTCAAGGTGGATAGCACTGTGGTATTAAGAAAATAAAGTGTTCTTCAATAACACAAACACAAATCTATGGGAACAAGAACAACTACCAAGCATAAAATGCATGTGTTCAATAGACAAATTACTTAACATGGAAGCCGAAGTTATGTTAAAAGAAAAGCATAAACGAGACAATATTTCTTGTCATGAATATTATTGTTACAAACTTCAAATAAGAGATAATGAAAATATTGTCTTACATGCAGGAAGATTATTCCAACAATATGTAGTAGATGAATGGATAAAAATTGAAAGCCAACGATTAGACTTTGCTTATTTTAATCAAGCTTTATTTAGGACTGATGTCTTAGACGAAATTTTGGATGTTTTACGTAAGGGGGAAAGAGAAGCTTCACATATAGGAAAACAACGTATACTTCCACCTAGCTTTACTGGAGGTCCAAGAGATATGCATAGACGGTATATGGATGTTATTGCATTAGTGCAACGTTTTGGAAAACTTGATATATTTTTAACTATAACATGTAATCCTTCTTGGACTGAAATAGCAGAAAAACTTATATCAACCGATGAGGTACAAAATAGGCCAGATCTAGTTAGTAGAGAGTTTAGAGCAAAAATAGAAGAATTGAAAATGATATAATTAAAAGACATATTTTTGGTAAAGTTGTAGAATTTATGTATACAATAGAATTTCAAAAACGAGGGCTTCCCCATGCTCATTTTCTTATCACACTAAATGAGAATTACTAACTCCAGAAGCATATGATCGATTTGTATGTGCTGAAATACTACATGAATGTTAGGACAGAATAGGTGAACATGCGGAAGCTAGCAAAGCAAACCTCGAAAGACTACGAGTAAGAAGACAACGAGAAAAATATCAAAAAACACACAGATTTAACGTGGTTCAGTCAATAGACCTACATCCACAAAGGAGATGAGCAATCCACTATAAATATGAGAGTACAGAATACAGAGAGAAACAACCTCAACCAATTCACTAGGAATACATGGGAGGTTCACACAAGTGATAACGTATCAAGATTGTGACCCACAAATTTTCCCTCTAACCAAAACTCTCAAAGCCTTTAAGACTACATTGTGAATGCTGATTAAGTTAGAAGGAACATGTCTCTATTTATAGAGCCCGAAACCTTTTTCTACTAGAAAAAGGATTAGTCAATGCAAAACCTTTTCCTAAAAGGAAAACCTATTTATGGTAAGAAATTCAAGGCAAGTAAAATCCGACAAATCTCCCCCTTGGCCTGAATTTCAGACAAAATAAATTTGTCCACCTTCTTTACTTAATCTTCAACAACTTGCTTCTCCTCTCCATAATCTCCTTTGCAAAATTTATGTCTCAACACAAAGAACCTCTCTGAAATAATTTCTCCAACAAAATCTTCATTATTGTCAAAAAAGGTTGCGGCTAGAACTACACCAGTCAAGATGAACACCTCTTTCTAATCTGGTTCAATAATCAATTATCGAACCACTGAACCTGATTCCATCATTGAATCTGGATCTGATACCACTTGTTAGGATCGAAAATAAGTAGGTGTAAATGCGGAAGCTAGAAAAACAAACCTTAAAAGATCACGAGTAAGAAGACAACGAGAAATATACCAAAAGACACAAAGATTTAACGTGGTTCGGTTAATAGACCTACATCCACAAAGGAGATGAGCAATCAACTATAAATATGAGAGTACAAAACACAAAGATAAACAACCTCAACCAATTCACTCGGAATACATGGGAGGTTCACACACTTGATAACGTATTAAGCTTGTGACCAACAAATTCTCCCTCTAACCAAAACTCTCAAAGCCTTTAAGATTACGTTATGAATGCTGATTAAGTTAGAAGGAACATGTCACTATTTATAGAGTCCTAAACCTTTTCCTACTAGAAAAAGGATTAGTCAATGCAAAACCTTTTCCTTAAAGGAAAAACTATTTATGGTAAGAAATTTAGGGCAAATAAAACCCAAAAATGAAAATATATATCCCTATTTATTTTCACTTGTTACATAACACATGATGCATGGTCCTTGTGGTAATTTGAACCCAACAAATTCTTGTATGAAAAAAAGGATGCTGTAAAAATAAGTATCCTAAAGAGTTTGTAGAACAAACAACTAAAGGAAAGAATTCATACCCAATTTATAGAAGACGAAATATAGGCAAAATTGTGAAAATTAGAGGACCCTTTCTTGATAACTTGTGGGTTGTTCCTTACAATCCATATTTGCTTTGTAAATTCAATTGTCATATAAATGTAGAGATTTGTTTAGATATAAAAGTTTTTAAGTACATTTATAATACATTTGCAAAGGGCATGATAAAATAACATTTCATATACAGACTAATGATGTAAACGTAGAGATAGATGAAATAAAAGAATATCAATCTACTAGGTGGGTATCACCACCTGAAGCTGCATGGAGAATATTTGCTTTTCCTATTAGTGAAATGAATCCAACTGTATATCACCTACAACTACATATTGATGAACAACAACTTATTTCCTTCAAAAGTACCGATAACATTACTAATATTGCAAATAATCCCATTATAAGAAAAACAATGTTAACTAAAAAAATTTTAATGAATAAATCAAACAAAGAAGCTATGGACCTAAATTTATTGTATCGTGAGTTTCCTGAACATTTTGTATGGTCAACAACAAATAAAATTAGGACACGTCGTAAACGAGGTCACATTATTGGACGTATAATGACATGTCATCCAATCGAAGGAGAAAGATACTATCTTAGGTTATTTTTAATGAATGTAAGGGGGCAAAATCATATGAAGATCTGTGAAGTGTAAATGGAGTACAATATAATTCATTAAGAGAAGCTGCTTGAAAATGAGAACTATTACTTTGTGATAATAATTTGGTAGAATGCATGTCTGAAGCTGCAAGTTATCAAATGCCATCCAGTTTAAGACAATTTTTTGCTGTGTTATTGATTTATTGTAATCCAACAAATTCTAGAGAATTATGGGAGAGATTTGAAAGCCCTATGTCGGAAGATTTCAATGAAAGTTCAAATATAAATGTAAGAGAAATACATTCTAAAGTATTAAATTATATTAATGATATTCTTCATTCAATGGGTCGTGATATTAATGAATTCGAACTAATTTCAGAATATATCAAACCTTCATCATTAGCAAGAGAAGCTAAAGAAGTTCATGATCAAAGAACTATCATCTTTAGTGAGGAAGATTTATTATTAAAAAATAAATTAAACTCTAAACAAATAAAAGCTTACAATATTATTCTTGATAGAGTATTGTCAAATAAATTTGGAGCATTTTTTATTGATGGCCCTGGTGGAACGGGTAAAAGTTTTTTATATCGTGCTTTATTAGCTATATTAAGACATAAGGGATTGATAGCTTTAGCAATTGCAAGTTCTGATATTGCAACTTCACTTCTTCCTGGAGGTCGAACTGCTCATTCTCGATTTAAATTCCTATTGATGTCGATGAAAAATTTACTTGCAATATTAGTAAACAAAGTTCACTGACATCTTTTATACGAGATGCACAATTAATTGTGTGGGATAAAATTTCAATGGCAAGAAAGAAAATGGTTGAAGCATTTGACTTACTATTAAGAGATCTAATGGAAACAAATACGTTATTTGGTGGTAAAATAGTTGCTTTTAGCAGTGATTTCCGACAAACTCTTCCTGTTGTTCATAGTGGAAAAAAAGAAGATTTTGTTCGCGAATGGTTATTGTGTTCTGAAATATGGAATGAACTTGAAGAACTACAATTATCAAAGAATATGTGTGCACTAAAGATTCTGAATTTTGTGAATTTTTAATTAGAATTGATAGTGGAAAATAAAAAACAAATGACCATGGAAAAATTGAAATTCCTCATTCTCTCATTATTCCTTTTACTTCTGAAAAAGAATCTCTAAATTTTCTATTTAAAAATACATATCCCGATTTATACAAATCTTGTACAAAAACTTCATTTGTTACTTCTCGTGCTATTATACCAACTAAAAATGATTTTGTTGATGATATAAATTACATGTTGATCTCTCAATTTTTAAACATTGAAAAAGTATATATGCTATAGATGAAACTATTGATCCTAAGGATCAAAGTGAATACGAAGATTTCTTACACACTTAAAATCCTACTGTTGACCTCCATACAAATTATCTTTAAAGAAGAATTGTCCGATTATGTTACTAAGAAATTTAAATCTCTGTGAAGGTTTATGCAATGGGATACGATTAATATGTAATGAATTTAAACCTCATGTAATTAGTGCAATAATATCTAGCGGTGATTTTAAAAATACTCATGTATTTATTCCACGAATACCACTCATGACTTCAGAAGATGAAAAATTGCCACTTCCTTTTAAAAGAACGCAGTTTCCTGTACGATTATGTTTTGCCATGACTATAAATGAAGCTCAAGGACAAACACTAGATTTTGTTGGTATATATTTACGTGAACCTGTCTTCTCTCATGGACAATTGTATGTTCCTTTATCAAGAGCTACAAGTTCCAACAATGTCAGTATTAATTAGACCACCTATAATTGACAAAAATGATGATCATTCAACATATAATGTTGTCTATAATGAAATTATTGAAAAAGTTTTTTCATCATCTTTGTGTTATAATTTGCACTGGTAAATCTTATATACAACTTACATACCCTATATGTATATTTTTAATGTATTTATATTATTAATAATATTGCTTTCATTATACATTTGTCTTTAGTTTATCCTCTTATAATGTATTTTAATTGCAGATATATTGCAACATGGCGGAAAGATATACCATCAATATGATCACTCCAGATACTAAAAATTGGACATGTGTAATGATCTGTTTAGTCGTTTTTGAGCAGTAGAGTTTATTCTGGTAATAACTGTCTGGGTCGACGGATCCCACGACGGACCATCGAGGGGGTCTCGTTCCAAAACACATGGATTCTGAAAATTTGGGTACTGAGATCGACTCTCTGAACTTCACGACGGAATGACAGGACGGACCGTTGCAGGCATGACAGGCCGTCACAGACCTCTTAAATGAAATTGAGTCTCTGAACTCTGTGACGACTCAGCAGGACGGACCATCGCAGGCACGACGGGCCGTCACAGGCTGCGTAACCCTGACTGGGTCGGATTTCTGTTAAAAGTTTTTAAGGGGTGTTTTGGACTATTCCTGCATATGATTATAAAGTTAGTGGTTTAATGTTAATAATTCAATTACTTGGGGGGTTAAAGGAGATAACCTTGAATTAAATAGTGGGTTACTTTTGTCATTTTTTATACTTAATTATATGGTAATTAGGGTAAAAGAAGAAGAGTTTGAATAAGGAAAAATAGAAAGAACAGAAGAGAGGGACGAGCGAGCGAGAGAGAAAGAAGAACGAAGAGAAAGCAAGGGCATTGGGGAAGTAGATTGCTTGATCACGATTCTTCGGTGAAGGTAGGTTATGGTTTATGCTATTCCGTAGTAAACTCTAAATAGCGATTGATATGTATTGGATAATTTCGTAAAGTCTTCTATATGCTTAAATTAGTGCTTACATGATGTGATTATATAATTGTGATAAAATAAGCATGATGAGGCTATTGAATCTTAAACCTTAAAACCTCTTTGTTAATGATGATGCCTTGGTGTAAAAGAAGGCTTGATGTACTGAAAGAATGAGATTAGGGGATCGGGTGTCACGAACCGACACGTAGAATTAGGGGATCAGAGTGTCACGTTCCAACACCAGGATAGTATGGATCGGGTGTCACGTTTCGACACCAGGATAGTAAAGGATCGGAGTGTCACGTTCCGACACCAGGATAGTAAAGGATCAGAGTGTCACGTTCCGACACCAGGATAGTAATGGATCGGGTGTCATGTTCCGACACCAGGATAGTATTGATCGAGTGTCACGTTCCGACACCAGGATAGTATGGATCGGGTGTCACGTTCCGACACAAGGATAGTAAAGGATCGGAGTGTCACGTTCTGACACCAGGATAGTAAAGAGAATAAATCTTGAATTATGCTAATATACTCTGATTTAATGAACCTATTTCCCAAATGAGTATGGTGTGGAGGCTTGAGTCCTCATAGATGTGCTTGGGTTGTGCCCAGTGGTTATGGTACTTGTTGTTGTCACCTATTAAGTGTTATGGTTGATTTTATGTTATTATTTGATATATATTGCTTTCTATTTTGAGTTGGACGATGATACCTACTCAGTACTTGTGTTTTGTACTGACCCCTACTTGTATGTTTTCCTTTGTTATTTGTGGAGTGCAGCAAACGTACCGTCGTCTTCAACTCAACCGCAACTCTAGCCAGTCTTCATCACGTCAGATTTCAGGGTGAGCTATTGTTCCTAGCTCGGACTGGATTCTCTCTCATTCATGTCTTGATGTCCTTGAAGTTCGGACATGGACCATCTGTTTTCTTATTTTAGCTTCTTAGACACTCTTAGATTTAGTAATTTGAGGATAGAATGTTCTTGTGGTGATGACTTCCAGATTTTTGGGATAGTAATTGATAAATTTTAGAAGTTATTAATTGATTTCGCTAATGAGTTTTAAGTCTTCCACATTATTTTCTGTTTATTATGATTGAAATGTTGGGGTTTAGATTGGTTGGTTCGCTCACATAGGAGGGTAAGTGTGGGTGCCACTCGCGGCTCGTTTTGGGTCGTGACACACTTGGTATCAGAGCATTAGGTTCGTTGGTCTCATCACACAAGAACGAGTCTAGTAGAGTCTTAAGGAACGGTAGGGGGACGCATTTACTTTTCTTTGAGGGGCTATAAGACTTTAGGAAAATTCCATTCTTTCTTTCTTTCTTGCTATTACTTGGATCCAATTGGTATCTAGGTGATACAAATTGGTATCTGACCATCTTCACTCTATTTCGTAGATGGTTAGAACTAGAGCAACAACTGCGCCAGCACCAACACCGGCAAGACAAGATGCGTCTGAACCAGCCACTGAGGCTATAGCTCGAAGAGGAGCAGTGGCAAGAGGCCATGGTAGGGGTCGCGGGAGGACGTCCTCTAGACGAAGAGGACAAGCACCTGGCCCATCTGGTACTAGGGCGGTAACTCCTCCACCGACTGAGGAAGTATTAAGAGAGGATGAGCAAGGGGGAAATGAACAAGTGCAGAACGAGGAATTACCACCCCAACCTACCCCAGAGATGATTAATCAGGTTCTTGCTTATCTTAGCGGGTTATCTGATCAAGGCCACACACCTCCAGTGTTTTCTGCACCAGCACCTCAGGTTCCGGGAGTACAACATACAATTGTAGTGGCTCCCCGCATGGATGCCTCATTGGAAATAGGCACGTTTCCTCGGTTGACTACAGGGCCTATAATGACAAGTGACCAGCACGAACTTTTCAGTAAGTTCTTGAAGTTGAAACCTCCAGTTTTCAAAGGTGCTGAATCTGAGGATGCCTATGACTTTCTGGTTGATTGTCATGAGTTGCTACATAACATGGTGATATACCGTGGTTTCACTGTACAATTAATACTTTTTCCTTAAGTTTAGTGTGTCCGAAAGCGTTTTTTGTACTAATTTTGATATAAGTTTCTCTTTGTTTTGCAGGAAATCTATCCAAAGCTGAATGCGGAGATTATGAGCGAAAAAAATGCAGAAGAGACCACCTACGGAGCTTATGACGGTCTGCCGTGCCTGTGACGGTCCATAGGTGGCAGCGTAGAGAAGCTGCTGAAGGAAGATGGGGAAGTCTGACCAAGTGTGGGATTACAAAGCTTGTGACGGTCCGTCATGGCTATGACGGTCCGTTCTGCAGGTTCGTCGTGAAGATCAGAGAAGTGATCCCAGTACCCAGATTCCAAGAGTTGAAGTATTTTGAAATGAGACCCTCGACGGACCGTTGTGCCTATGACGGCCCGTCACACTTTCCATCGAGGGGAGTAAAGAAAGCAGAAGAAGAAATTGCACCAAGTATAGGACGATGGAGTCCACGACGATCCGTTATGACCACAACGGTCCGTCGCGTGGTCCGTCAACCCAGCCGCGTTTTGGTAGATTTCCAGTTATTAGAATCCTTGTTTAATTAGGTTTTTATTTTTTATAAATAGTTCGAAAAACCTCGTTTATGAGGTTAGACGCTGGGATATTAGACATCATATTATTAGACTTTGTGTATTAGTGTTTGATTTTTGGAGATTCTTACAAGTGATTTTTGGTGATTAATCAAGCAAATTTTTGGACTTTATTCTTTCTCATTGAAGTAAGTACATGAATTCTTATTTAATATATTTGAATATTGTGTTTATGACTATGAGGAACTAAACTCCATAACTAGGGTTGTGGGAACTATAGGCAAATAATGAGATAACCCTAGCTAAAATAACAATTCTAGAAAAGTGTCTTGCATGTATTAATAATTCTTTCGCTTAGAAGTCTTTTTAACGGATGATCAACGTTAGAACTCGCCTTAATTCTACTTGCCGGACCAAGGAGGTAGATAATAGGAAAAGAATTATTAACATAGATTTAGTGTATACTATCTAATAGGCTAGTATTGATTGGTACGAGGTAATAATTTAGTCAAATATCGAATACGATGCTTAATATGAGGTAAAGATAAGGGTTAGGAAAGCAACACATGTAGCCGGACCAAGGTGCGGAGTGAGATTTTCTAGATGCCGGACCAAGGATTTAGAAATACATAACTTATCACTTTGCATGCAAGATACTAGGAAAGAATTGTTATAGTTAGAATTATCAAGTTTTGAACCTGTGGGGAACACGTAAACCGTAGTTACTTTGATTAATTGATTAAAACCCAAAATTAAAAGCTGTTAAGTGCCTCTTGCAAGTTTGTTGTTTATTTTCACTTATTTATAGATAGAACCCCCCTTTTTGTGCTTTTACTTTCTAAGGAAGTCATCAACCGAACGATAGTAATAACAAGTTGAAGTTTATTCTAGAAAATTTTCCTCGTGGGAACTATCCCAACCTCACTAGTTGGGTTATTTACTTGACGCGACCGCTTTACTTCTCATTTGAGAAGTAAGTTTGAGCGTATCAAATTTTGGCGCCGTTGCCGGGGATTTTAGCTTTTAGATTAACTTGAACTTATTACTAAAGTTTAGTTGATATTTTCTTGATTTTACTTTATTTTATTGTTTTTGATTTCCTTTCAGAACTATCCTCCTTGTATGCCAAATACACGGAGTGGAAGAGAATTCTTGTTTCCCTACGATCACGAGCTAGAGCGTACACTGCGCAATATGAATCAAAACTTGGGAATAAATGATGAGGATCCAAACAGAACATCCCAGATCCAGTGGATGTTCATGGTCAGATGTTACCCGACGCTCCGGGTGAACATCAACAGAGGGGACAAAATCCCGTTCCACGGCCCCAAGCATACTACAGAGGGTATGATAACATAGCAGATTCGGATGGGCCACTTGTCTTGCCCCCTCTACCTACATGCCACACTTTTGTGGTAACTAGTAGCCTGATGCAAATGCTCACTGCCAGAGGTTTGTTTTCAGGGCTACCTTTTGAGGATCCACATGCCCATATAGCTAAGGTAAGGGCAGTGTGTAAAAGTTGTGTGGGGAGGCCTGATTTGGATCTAGATGTAATAGGTCTCAGAGTGTTTCCTCTCTCACTGACGGGAGAGGTTTCTATGTGGTTTACTGAGCTCCCATACAACTCCATTTTCACTTGGAACCAACTACGGGATGTTTTCTTAGCACGCTACTATCCGGTCTCCAAGAAATTAAACCACAAAGACAGGGTGAATAACTTTGTGGCACTACCAGGAGAGTCAGTTAGTAGTCCTTGGGATAGATTCACCTCATTCTTGAGAAGTGTTCCAAATCACCGTATTGATGATGAGTCACTGAAAGAATACTTCTATCGGGGACAGGATGATAGCAATAAAG